TGCCCAGACAACAGGAGCCATGCTCTTCATGTTGGTCCTGGGTGATGGCCAGAGCTGGAGGCGCCCAAACAGGGAGTTCCGACCGGCACATCTGGGATGCCCTTGCCTCCCGCGTCTTCGAGTGGGGGCAGAACAGGATCATGCTCTATCAGGAGGCGGGTTGGAATCCCAGAATGCTGTTACTCCGCGGCTCCGAGTTACATCACCGAGGACAACATCCCGATGGCGACGATTGGCACTTCCTTCCGGGCGGGGAGAGCTACACATACGCAGCCGAATGCGCAAAGTACATTTTGGATGCTGCCAGGATATGCTACGAGCTGTGTTGCCCCGCCTTCGACATCAAGGACTTTCCTTTTGCCGTTCCATCAGCTGCGGCCCCGCCGCAGCCTGCGATTCCACCGCCGCCTGCGGTTCCACCGCCGTCTACGGCTCCCAGGCGCTGAGGGCCCGATGATGAAGCGTGTGATCTCTGCTGGCGGCCGCCATGTGAGCTGCCAGGTGGGAGTGCTGCTGCCGTTCGGCGACATCGGGGCACCAGAATACCTGCCGTCTGAGTCCGCCAACGTCAAGTCGAAGGACTTTCAGGCGTGGTTGGCGGAAGATCGCGACAAAAGGCAGGCATGGGCGGACCGGCGGTATACCGCTGTGCCCCATGACGACGCAGTGGATATCTACGGGAGGGAGATAGAGGCAGGTAGTCCCATGGAGGACCTGCTCATCGATGACAGACTGGCAGCGGTGTTGGATGCAGCCAAGAAGGGCACGGCAATGGTGTTTACGGCCACATCGCGCCCCGCGCCGGCCCCGCCCGCGCGGGAAGCGGCGCGGGCCGCTACCGAGGCGCAGACCACCAGTTCCAATCTCACTGGCAGGCCCCTCTGGGATGCGATCATCGAGAGTGTGCTCCATCATTCGACCTTCGATAAAGAGGTCGAGCACATTGCTTGTAACTTCGGGAACGGTCGCATTAAATGCCCGCGCTTCTTCGAGGCATGCGCGTCACATCAGCAGGCCGTAATCATGGAATTGAGGCCTGGGTCTGAAGCGCAGCCGCCAAACGAAGTCATACTTCGCGACCGCCCGACTGTCAACCATGAACTCATGCTTATCAGTCGCGACAGGGAATCTGACGTGAACGAGCCATTTAATCGAGCAGTTCTACGAGAACGAGAAATGGTACGACTCATTAAACGGTCGAGTTGCAGCCCGCGAGTGGGTCATCAATAGAATGCGGCTAGCACGTTCCCCGCGCATTGCACGAGACTGCTGCCTGAGGATGGCCATCGAATATTTGGCCCCGAGGCGGCTGCGCACGACGACGCTCGAGAATGTATCATGTTCGGCTCTCTTCGACAAGAACACGGCAACGTTCACCGAGCGCGAATCTCATTCCATGCTTCAGATTCCCGTCCTCTTGCCTGAGAGTGCCCATGACCGAGTCAGGCGGGGTGGTCGGGATGCGTTCTCCCGCGCCTCTCATAAATGTAAGCTCTACTCGTTACTAAACTTAAACGCTGGTGTATTCTTTCCGTCCAGCGAGAAGGGGGCATGAGGGTCAAGACAGACCAAAAGTCGGATGCCGAAAGCTATGCCGAAGGGGTCTACGCCCTCCGTGACCCCGAGTACGTTCAAATGCATCACCAGCAGTGCAGCCACGGCGCTGAGCTTTGGGATGACGGGGACCTGGTCACCATGGACTTCAAGATCACTACCCCGTCAGCAGAAGGAGGAGGCGTCCGTCCCATAGACTCGCTCTATTTCATGACGCCGAGCCAAGCCGACGAGCGTCAAATCTGGGTCTTCCATCCGCAGCACTCCCGCCGCTTCGATATCGACTACAAGGCGCTGGTCGACCCTGCCCCCGAACCAGAGGAAGGGGCTCCGATGTGGCAAATCGACAACGCCATTCAAGATGCGATGTTGAGGAGAGGGCCTCGTGCCCCCCCCTGGAACGGGCTGGAATTCGGCGAATGGTACGAGCGCAGTTCCAATCGCAGAGACAAAGGGAGATTGTGGCCGAATTGGGCGATATATGGAAGAAACACATTGAGTTTCTTCAGATAAAGGATTGGCAATATCGCGAGTTGTGCGCTAATGCCCTGATTACGGACCAATTCGAACGGTCAATCCTTGTGGCCCATGGTCTTCAGGACATAATGATTGCTCCCCTGCAGGCTGGGCTATCGCGTGAGCGCCCAGCACTGCGAACTATGAATATGGACATTTCTATGCCCAGGATCTCGGACCACGATTGGGAGCTCTTCTGAGAACAGAAAGGAAGAGGAAAACGAGAAAATACCCGAAGAACCTGCTGCGGGCCATGTCCCAGGCAGCGTCGAACCCGAAGGGCCGACGAGGTCCGAGAGCGTCGTCCGCCGCGGAGGTCATGGGATCATTCTCGCGGATGCGGCCAAAAGACGGCGTGAAAGTCAGTCGGGTGGAAGACGCTCAGGCTGGGGCAATATCGGGCATGCGGGCTTTGATCGCCCATTTGGCG